GAGGATTTTCGCCTGTAAGACGGACATGGGTATTGAGCCCTTCTTCACAAACTCCTCCGCAGCAGCATCAACATCACACGCAACTGCGTCAACTTCCTATTCAAGAAAGAAATCAAACCTTGAGTGTGAACAACAAAACAAAAAATTCATCGGATTCCTACAAAAAAATAACACACCGAGACTTTAGCAGACTTGGTTACTGAACTCGAATCCCCGTCTTTGGAGGCCAAGTCCACTAGCCTCGTTTTGCCCAGTTGCTCATAGTCAATCCAAAGTTCACGGGCTTTGCCAAAAACTGGCGGCGGATTCGACACCTGCACGAGAAATTTCAGTTCACGATTCTTTCACAGAAGTTTCACAATTGAAATAAAGTTCCTGGCAGGTTCAGGAGAATAATGTCCAGAAGTAGGTGAATGTGAAGTGAGAAATCTGCATACCTTTGCCTGCACCATGACACAATCTTTTTTTGGATGTGGTTAGATGTCACTGGGAGTCACATCTATATTTTTATTTCCCACCTTGTTAATCTACAGTAGGGATATTCCATTACAACAAATCTTATCACAATGTTTTTCTTGGTCCCCAGCAATTCTTCATAGAGACAATGTTGAAAAAATTTGGCTATAACAAACTAATTTTCATCTATAATCTTGGCGTAAGAAATTTCTGCATTGATTATGTGTGCTGGACTAAAAAAAGTTTTACTGATTGGCACAATATGGGAAAACCCAAATTGTGCATGACTGAAAAACTTGAAAAAATAAAAATTCTACTCTTTTTGAACAGAAAATTAAAATTTCAGGAAGTACAAAGCTCTAATCAAAATCTGTTCTGCTTTATTTTTAAAATTTTGATATGACTACTTTTCTTGTAAGAAAAATACTGTACGTTTGGAGGGCTACAGCTATATTTCAGGGAGCATGCATTTCTTGATGAAACCATGTTATTGTTAAACACGTATTTTCTGTTTGTATCAGCTAATAATTTTTTTAAGATCAGCATAATTTTGGAAAATCGAAAAAAGAAGGTCTAAAATAATGGACTTTTTGAATTTTCTTGATTATTTCATCAAAATATGCTTGAAATGAGGGTAATTTTTCACAAATGTGCACCGGAAGTAATTTAAAGCATCTATTGCCTCTTTCTTGTAAAATTTCCGTCGCATACATGCTGAAAGAATCATGAAAATTGTAACAATTATTTTTTTCTCAGGTCCCTACAAGTTCATGATAATCAGATTTCACTCAAAGTAACCCACCTGCAAGGTAAACTTCATTAGCAGAGTATACAGTAGTCACACAGACATGAATACAAATGGCATCACCAGAAAAATAGGGACCCGCTTTTTAAAAATTATTTCCTCAGCGCTAATAATTTTGATTCTTTTTAATGTGTCCCAAAACAAGAATAAAGAAATACCGACAGTTAAGCATCAGATTAACACAATTAGGACGACAAGGAAACAAACCCACTTGGACTTTCAGATACTCCAATGGCTCAAAGGGAACCAACTTGACGAGCACCTTTTGCACTTGGGCCACATGGTCTCCCCTGACCACCAAGGAGTCTTTCCTGACAAATTGCTGCTTCCACCAGGACTCGTAATTGCTGACTGGTGCAGAATTCGGTCCAAACTCAATCACCTGACGCTCCAGCAGTAAAGCAGTCACAAAACACTCCATGTTGTCAGACTCGCAACCTTCCTTTAGAAAATCTGCCACCGTGGCTACGCAAAAACAAAACCAATCACGGAAAGCCCTTTTTCAAATCATTGAAACGGAAAATTTCGGGGTTACTAACAGTCAAGCAAAGGTTTGGCATCTTGAGGAAACCTCGCCAGCAGACAAACTACGAAAGCGAATACTGCAGCCCAACTGACTTCGTCGTTTTGCAAAGCATTCCTCAACTCCTCCACACAATCGTCACAGCCAACTATTTCCTGAACCTAAAAAAAAAAAAAAAACGAGACAAGGAAACTTCTTACGAAGGTCTAGAACAATTCCACGATTTTTTCGTTTCTTTTTGACGACGAACTCGAGTTAAATACCACCGAATGTTGAATTATTCAAGTCCTTTTTGAATTCTCTTGGAAACAACGCATTAAAAACCTCCTTAAATCGAATTTTCTCGAGGCATTTTTGCGATGATTTCCTTGACACAGGGAAGAGAAAAGTAGTAAAACATGCGACTGGACGTGCTTTGAAAGGAATTGAGATATTAATTGGGCAAATAAACCCTTGCATCCGAAGTTCACCATTCCGTCAACTCTCACAAGAAACAATTTGAAGCCCAGAATAACACTAAAAACAATTTTCTGTGATCATTCTTTCTTTTCTTCAACACGAATGCCTTTTCTCAAAACTCGAATTTTTTTTGCCGGTCCCTTGAAATTGGACCGCATCCGGATTCTCAAGTAGATGTCGCCCGAAGGCACGATAACAAAGCAGGGAATAAGCAGACCTAAACTAATTCCACATTCACAACTCTACACAAAGCAAAACTTGGAAAACAAGAGACACGAAAACTGAGAGAAAATTGTGACTATGAGTCGATCAAGTCAAAATAACTCATTACTTTTCTTCCAATCACATTTCCATGCCAAAACGTTATGCGAAAACAACTAACATTGAATAAAACTTCCTTGTAAGTGGGATGAATGCAGGCGAATGTGTACGACTTCTGGGTCATCACAGCGGTCTTCAGCTTCAAACCTCGGTAACCCCCGAAATTCCTAGTCAAAATACCTCTGATGATCTTCTGACAAGTGTCTTTCAAACCACCGACGGCATTTTGTCCGTCAGCCAAAAGCAGAAAAGGATTCATCATCTTCGGCCCGTCAACAACAGCTTCGTGTTCCACGGACCAACTTAGAATTTTTCCTACCTTTTCAAAACGAATAAACAAACAAAATTGACGATAAATCGCACACTTTTTAAATTGAAGCTAGCTTCAAATCACCAGCTGAAGCAGAATCTCAAAGGCGGGATTGTTCTCGACACCAGCAACGTTTTTCCTGTCGCAACTCTGAACCAAAGCTATCATGAGACATTTCAGAAAGGTCTTCTCCACCTCTGCAACGCTTTCCATGGCTCCTGACAAGAACAAGTACAAACTTTCCCACGGGGCCTCCACATCAGATATCCTATGAATAATGCAATAAAATATAATAATGTATTAAAATATACGTCGTGATAAAAAAATGATGCTGACTAACTTTTCAAGATACTTGGTGAGATCCAGAATTCCTTCACTCGCAAGAACGCAAGCGAACTCCAATCCAAAAACAGCCTGCAGAAAAATCTTTGCTATAGGATCTAAAAGAACGGTAACGTACTTCGGGAGATTCAAAAGTTCAGGGAAAATCATGGAAGACGTTTTTCTCGATCGAACATTTTCAAACAATAAAAATAAAGGTCACGGAATTGAATATTAATCAACAAAATTATCACCTAGTTACAAATATTTTTTATTTAGCATCGGCAACAGAATTAAAGAATTGTAGTAATCACCTGTCGAAATTTTTTTTTGCCCAGAATTGTGAAGATGTGCATTGAATGAAGATTTTTCCGACAGTTCACATTCAAAAATTAAATTCACACAATCGAAAAAATTTAAAATCATGCTCCAAGAACATTCTTCTGGGTGTTAAAAAAAATCGTAAGTTCTTATCAATCAACATGGGTTTGAGAATTCAACCACCTGGAAGTTCTATAATCACAGTTCTATACTGTATTTTAAATGCAAGAAAATTATTTTTCACACGGAGCTTCCATGAAATTTCTCGAACTTACAAAAATTGAAGTCGAAATACTTTGATTACCAAAGGAAAATAACTTTATACTGTATTACGATTTCCCGTTGACAGTTGAACCTCCCCACTCACCCTGCTAAACCTGAATTCTTTCATGACAAAGTCCTTCGCGGCAATCGTCGCCTGAAATAAATAAAATAATTATTTGTTGTTTAACCATTGCATTTGTTGATGAAAAAAAAATCGAAATAATTCCCCGAGTCCAAGACCTTCTTCCTGCCGAAAAAGTGCTTCATAAACTGAGCCAGACGCAGAGCACAAGTCCTCCGCGATTCCGACAAAGTCGAATGAATGACCCACTTGCCCAAAGGCGGAAGCTTCATCAGACCATGTTTTTCAGCCATAACTCGGCAAAATTCCTTGACAAGCACGTCCAATTCCACTTGATGCTTTTCCGCAAATCGTCCCAATTCCCAAGCTATGCCTTCGTACGACCAGATGGCATCTGAGCGCGAAAAGACCGTCTCATCTTCCTTCACGAGAAGACACTGCGAAAAATAAAATCAAAATCAAAAGTCTAAAGATTTATCTACATTTAAATAATCGAGCAAATGAAAAAAAAAATAAGTACAATATCCTTCTAGTACAACTCACTTCTTTCCACAATAGCTCAGCCGTCGTGTCCGCATCCAACAAAGTCGCCAATTGCTCAAAACATTCGTTCAAGATTTCCATCTTGATGCCCTGAAGGTAAAACTTGCAATCTCGTGAAAACATAGAAACGACACAAAATTTTAAAATTACACACGAAAGAACAACGCAGATTCATAAAACAACCACTTTATGCAACAAAATATGCATCAAATTGCAAGTAAAAAAAAAGCCTTTCTCATAAACCAGGTTCACAAATGCACCATCAAGCCCACGCTGAAGATTGGATTTTGCTTTAAAAAAAAAGTCGATTGGCTTCGCAATGTTGAATATTGAATTTTGAAAAGTGTCGAACGAGTCCTTGAAGATATATGATACAAAGGATGCGTGCATTTTGTGCAATAAATGTCAAAGAACAATTTTCAGAACAAGACTTCCTTAATTTAACCAAAAATCAACAACTGGGATATTTTCAGGTTCGTTTCCGTTTCCTATTTTCGAATCCTGATGCATAAAATGTGTCTCAAAATTGGAAAATATTTGAGTTGGCCCCTTACCCCTTAAGATTCGATTTTGAAGGAAAAGATGCAACAACATTCAAACGCTTCATCGAAAAATCCGTGCAATCTCGTCATGAAAAAAAAGAGAAAATCAATAGCAATAGAAAAAAAAACATTTTCGCAGCAGGAAGCAGCGTTAAACTCAGCTCAACAACTTGCCAAGCACACTCGTGGCCCAGTCGCCAATACAACCCACACTCAACAAATCCAACGACAACAACAACACCGTCGACACTCCGACAAAGGCGTACGCCACAAACACGTCCCACGTCCGAAACTGGAAACTCGAGCCAAACTTGCAGCAAAAGTAGACGAAACTGAGTTGCAGCAAACAAATGCTCCAGGTCGTCGCGTTCCTTCGACTCGGCACTTTCCAGGCACACCAACCAACCGTGGCCAGCAGAGACACGCTCAGGGCTGCAGGGATGCTGAGGAAAACGCTGAGTGGACAGGGAAACCGACACTGGCCACTGGCCACGCAGGGCAAAAAACTGCAAAAGATGCCAGCCAAACACAGGATATTCCGAGAGCGCAACACTGGGCTGCTACTGCTGGTGCTGCCAAAAGACCCAACTGCAACTGCTCTTGCACGAAACAATGAGAGTAAAACATGAAATTATCCTGATCTTTCAAGTACACTACAATCTCGTTACAACGAACTCCCGAAGTTCCTAATAAAAATTCGTTGTAACGATGCATCAAGAAACCATTTTAGATTGAAACTTTTGTGGGACATGGGTAATAATTACTGTGAAGTGCTTCTAAAACAAATAATTCAAGACCTATCATAATTGATATTTTGAATCAATAGTCCAGTACTGTACACTTTCCTTTCATTACACATAACCTCCTACTAAAGCGTCATTTGTGGTGAAAAATTAAATGAAACAAAAGTGAATGAGTGAGAAATACCGTACAGTGAGGTCTTGGTTAGCAAACTTGATCCGTTCCCGAGCAAAGTTGACAACCAGTGCGTTTGTCAACCGAGACCCCACTGAACTTCCTTTTGAATCAACTTGTTCCTTTCATTCATGCTTCTTCTTTCAATACTGTTTATTGCAGTTAAAAGCATAAATTCTGAAATGGAGCCAAACACTTTTCCAAGAAATACGTCCGGTGGTATATTAAAAAAATAAACATTTTATCCACAGAAAGGTTTGCTTCTTTGATGAAGTTGGAACGCTGCACGCCAAATTTAAATTTTGAAGACACCGGAATTCAAATTTAAATATGATTTCCATCAATTTTCAAAAACGGTCGCGTCAAAAATCTCCCATTATATTAAGTGTGACGCGCCTATTTTCTCTCTCAATTTTATTTGAATTTAAAAAATAAAACAAGAAAAGTGCGCATGCCACTCAAGTAGATACTGTGAATAACAAACTTCCCGATAAAGAACTTTAAATTATTCTTTCCTGAAATGAAGAAAAAAACAGATCTCTTCAACTCACCAAGGGCAACTGCAGATAAAAGAGCACAAAATGCTCCAAGACCATCAATGCTAAATACCGATTCTCCAAATTGCTGAATCATGATCCAAACCGACTTCCACACTCCAGGTTTCGGCTCAAGCCCCAACCAACTTTTCCAGCTTCCGCCAGACACACTCACATCACTCACTTCTGCAAATGCCACACAAAAAAAAAACTATTCAGTACTCAGGGAACCACACAAAAACAAACTTCTCGCACAATATACAGTACCTTGCTTTAATCCAGCTGCCACATGAGCCCAGTAAACCGCAACGCGTAAAGGGGTAAACACTAGCCAACTCCACAACGTTTCTCGGATGCACCAATGATCGTCGGTTGTTGTGAACACCGCATAGATGCCAAAATCATCCAGTGATGTTGGAAACCTGGCCACCTTCACCAAATCGCAGATAGCATCAGATCAATCCAGTAAAATCCTCATAAATAATTATAGTAGATTAAAAAATTAATCTAAACAACCACGTTTTCAAAAAGCAAAAAATAACCTTAAATGTGGTGCGCATCTATGTCATTTGTATTTCACTTCTTCCCAACAATCTCCATGCACTCCACGTTTAAGGTNCCTGAAAGTTTCAGCTTGCTAGCTAGTCTGGGAGTGAGTGAAATTTGAGTTTCAAAATTTGATCCGGACAAACAGACAGACAGACAGACAAGAAAAGTGAGTTCATAAAAACGTGGTAAATAATGATGCCATGAAACATCATCACATATTTCAATGAATTTGACATTGACCCCAACCCTCTGTCTTTATTCACTCCTTTTAATAATTGACCATCTAAAAATTTGGAAATTCTCACCAGATGCGAGAAACATAGTCTGCTACATGACATATTAAAATGTAAATTTTTAAACTCTCACGAAAAATGTTCAGCTTGATGCGATATGACAGAAAACTTCTGGCCATTCATTACCAGAAAGAAGTGTCGAAGATAGGTCTATCAAATATAAAAGGAAAAAAAAACTAATTAAAACTAATAATCATGGAAAATATTTTGAAAATCTTCATTTTCCTCAAGCGGGGTCCAAAAAAAAACCTCGGACAAACATAATATGAAAAATGAGTCATTCGAGCGACAATGTGAGACAAAAAAAAGCACACACCTCTAGAAAGCCGTCCCCCAAGGGCCCGTGAACTGCGCAAGAAAGTACCAAAGCTGCGAGAAAAGCCGTCACTGCCAATCCAACACTTTTAGCACTCCATCTCGCATTTTCCAGCCAATGCATGACTTGCTGTGAATGCGACGCTGACTGACAACCCACCACATAGGATTGCATGTGATCCTTGCTACAGGCCTGCAAATCATTCAACATTTATCGCATCAGTTTCCCTTTGCGTTTACTGTACACAGATGTCGCCCTAATCAAATACTGTACATGTGGTACCTCACAATTCGACCCTAATCCATGGCTGGACTAGGGTAAAATTACAAAACTTCATACAATTAAGGAATATGAGTACAAAAACGCAAAAAAGTGGCCAAAGCAGGTTGAATTCTGGGGCAGAGGTCAAATTGCAAGTCAAACTCCCAGCAAATTTGACTGTAAAATTGCAGGACAGTTGAATTGCAAGGTACCACCTGTACACTAAATCTTACCATAAAAATTTTAGGAATATACAGAAGTTTTGTTATACAGTACTGAATAATTTGTTGCAACTAGATTTTTGAAATTAATAACTGGAAACAATTTTCAAGTCAGACGTCCCTCCATTCAATTCTTTTCTGGCATTTTCAGATTTTTTCATCATTGTTTGAAAAACGGAGTGATCTTCCGAACAAAAAAATAGCTTTGATCATGCATTCAACAAGTGTCACCAATCTCTGGGAAAATCATGTTGTGTGGAACCACTTGGAAGCATATTTATAATTAATTGCAGCTTCCATCCATGCTACAATAAGAACCAGTCAGTCAAATTTGGGAATGGAAACAACAAATGCTATGCAATTTAAGAATAACCAGACGAACGAAACTTTTGATGAGCGGCAGCAAACAAACCAGTAAAAGAGTGTCAAGTTCCCCATCACTCAGGGGTTGCTTCTTCAAATCTCCCGTCCCCTGCACGGGTACAACTTGGAAAATAATCTGCGAGGGCAAAGCTTCTTTCAGGGAAGAAATCTCCACAGTTTGTTCCAACACCGAAGAGTCTCCAAATACGATTCCCACGGGTTTACTGGCTCCCATGCATTCGGGGTAACAAGTGAGGACCTTTTTTCAAACCCCACCCCCCAAAGAAAAAAAATAGTTTCACGAGGCAAGTACAACAAACAAACACAAAAAAGATAATTCCTGAAACAACCTTGTACACAAACGCGGAACAAACTTCAGTCGTGAGCAAGAGACGCAAAGTACCCTTGTACAAATGCCCTCCGGGTTCGTAGAAAAGGGTCACGATGTCGGGTAAAATTGTTGCCACTGATTTGTAAACGCTTTGGCCTTCTGTGCTCAACACCGAATAAACAGGGGGTAAAGCTACTTTCGTTGGTCTCTGTCTATGGCTTTGAACTGAGGCTGAGCCAGACATGAAATCCTGTCCATTTTCTAAAAACGTTCCAGGCACTTCTGCAGAAATGAATATTTTCATTACTTTTATTTAAAAAAAATAATTATACCCTTTGCGAACGACACGTATTTTCAACGCATTCAAACTTGGATAATTCGAACCTCCCTTCGTCAAATGATTTCAGAGCCCTCGTCTGCATTTTTTTTAATAGAAAAAATGCATTAAAACCCCCAACTCAAAGGATTTTCCCCTTTCAGACCACCATAACTCAAATTTTCTGGAGGACTTTTGGCTAATATTTTATTGACACAGGAAAGAGAACAGCAATGAAAGATATAACTCAATGTGCTTTGAAAGGTAGTGAAAGACTAATTGGGCAAATGAACCCTTGCCTCCAAGTTCATCAGCTGGTCAACTCATTCAAGAACGAATTTAAGGCCCATAATATCACCAATAATAATTCCCTGAAAACCTTCTCTCTTTTGCACAAAAAAAAAAATTCCTTACTCAACTCGATTTTTTTTTCTGGCCCCTTGAAGTTCGACCTGAAGAGGTTCAATATAAATTATTTATCCTCTTTTTCCACAAGAAAACAATTTGAAGAAAAGACACTGGGGGAAAATATAATTTTTCGAAAGGTACCTAGTCTTTGCAGGTCCAGCTTTTCTGTTCGACCACAATACCCGTAGTTTTCTCTACACAGATAAGTTTTTCTTTGAAAAACTATTTCAATAGCTATTGAGTCCCTCACCTTCACAGCCGGGTTGGGGATTCAAAAACTGCAGCTGACTGAAGGTCGGAACAGGTTTGTTCGGGTGTTCTCTGACGCTTCCACCCCCAGGGAGCCTTCTTGAAAAATTCCCCTGAAAACCACATCCCTCCTTAAAATTCGACACGTTATTTTGAGGAAAAGCAGACATGCATGCTCAACGGCAAGGTCACACAAGGAGTCTCCGAGAACATCCGTTTGGAGCCCAAACATCTGCCAAATTCTGCCAAGGACGTCCGGTTGACTCGGTGATCTCAACAAATGATCATTTTCCATCTACAAAACATGAGACAGAAAAAAAAATCTCGTTACAATTGAACTCCTAGGGACCTGAGAAAAAATTCGTAATATGCTATTTTTTGGATCACATGGGACTGCAATTTTGCGGGAAACAGGCAATAATTGATTCAACGTATTTCCATAACAAATTCGTTAAAAACTGCGTGCTTTTTAAAACGTATTTCGATGAAATGACCAAGAAAATTCAAAATATGAAATACAATTCTCTTCTTTTCGACCTTCACTTTTTCAAATATCATATTCTAAAAGTTATACTGATCTTAGAAAAGTATCAGCTGAAGCCAACAGAAAATACATGGGTACGAAGAACATTTACTCATCAAGAACAGGGTGTTCCTTGAAATAGAGCAGTGCCCTTCCAAACATACTTTTTGTTCAAAAATTAGCCATTTCTAAAGTTTAAAACAAGGCTAAATAAAATACAAATTACTTTGTGGAATGCTAAATCTTCTGCACAAAAAGATTAGCATTTATATTTTTGGTAGTTTTTTAATTTATGCAAAAATTGGACTTTTCCAATATGAGGCCAATTGTTAAAATTTTTCGTGGCCCATGAACCTTAAAGAAGGCAAAAATTTGTTTTACTAAGATTACAGAAGAAATTCAGTTTGTTATGATGATAATTGCACTGCAATGTCCCGATGAAGAAACTGCCCACTCCAAAAATAAAAAAAAAGATTATAACGGAATTTTACTGAACATTGTTACACAACTCGCCCGCAGAACTTTTTTTTTTTCAAAAGCACTTACAACGTCTCTTCCCTTTCCTGACATGCTGATCCTGTGAAACTCCTTCCGGCCGAAACAATCCTGCAAAAACAAAAACACAACGTCATCATTGACAAATTGCCAAGTACTTTAGCGTACAACAATAACAACAAAAAAAAGCACCAGAAACACAGCAGACATGTCATGCACTTCCGCGTTTGGCGAACAGCTTGGCAAGGCCGCAGCCATGATCACCACCTTTTTTTCACAAAAAAAAAATCAATACTCGTACATTCCGTCGGATCTTGAGATTCGATTTTGCACATAGGGGATTGAAAAAGAAAAACCTGATCTTTCCTCAAACTCAGCAACTGCATGATGGTTTCCAACGACAGAAAGTTGCCATTCTGGCTCGTCTTCCTCTCACCAAAATCAGTGTCTCCACTAATCCAGAAACAAATGCGCAAGTGCTTCTCTTGTTTGGGTTGTAGCCTCTCAAATTGAACCTCGGGACACTCGAACTGCAGACTCACAATCTGCGATTACGGTACTGTAGTTCATTTCTCCATTTTCAATTCACAAAAAGGTGAAACCCAGGATGGGTTGAGCCCAAAAACGCGACGAGAATCGACCAATTTCTTTATCCTTGTTACACAACATCACATTCCAGTTAAATACTGCATCCCAAACTCAATTTTTTAAAATAATAATCAAGGTCAGGGGATCATTTCCAAGTGCTTGTTGAAATATAAAAATGGGCTTCTCAAAATCAACGAAGAAAAATCGACAGCTTTCATTAAACGGACGTAAATCAGGGATCGAAAGAGATAAACACTCCTCCAAACTCGAGTCGGATCGTCAACATTGACAAATTCAATCATTCAGCAAATTTACTGTCAGATTTTACAAGATAAAACAAAAAAATTTCATTCTCAGAAACTTTGAATTTCTTTTTCGCCGGAAATCTTGTTCTCCCATAGGGTAGTGTTGAAACTCACCTTAGTGGAAGTTCTAGTGCTGTACCAGTGAGACTAACCAGTGTTGGTTGGCGGTTGTGCGCATTCGGCGGGCAAGCCAGCAATAGGACAGTTATAAGAAGCAGACGACACGCACCAGAAAACGTGCATTCGCAACCTGAACAGTGCCCAAAACAACCACATACTCACTTCCCCACCAAAAATAAAATCAATCGATAGCTCACAAAATAAAACACCAGACCTCAAGATTCAAATCCACCGGCATGTCTGAGAAACATTCCACAAGACCCGGGGCACCGACATCATCGTTGCTCAAAACTAAACACTCCCTCCTGTGATACTCTCCACTCAACGGCACCTAATGCACCAGAAACGCTCTTTCTTGTTTTTTTTTGCTTCTTTCTCACACACTAGAGACGAAATCACCTTGTACAATCCGTAGCTGACAATATCCACGACATCACTAGGCACGGGGAATGCTACAACCATGCACCAGATCCGATGGCCAAACATGGCCCATTCCACGGGCAAACTCAACCGAACGGACCTCTTCTCCATGGAATTCAGAGTCCCAAATTCCCCAACTTGCGGGCCCCTCATCAACTTCACCTTCAAAGGAAGGCCAAAGACAATGTACACACGAGAAGCCTTACAAAAGTTCTTGGAATTGGAATAGAAATCTCCATGGAATTCAGAGTCCCAAATTCCCCAACTTGTGGGCCCCTCATCAACTTCACCTTCAAAGGAAGGCCAAAGACAATGTACACACGAGAAGCCTTACAAAAGTTCTTGGAATTGGAATAGAAACTATACTGCGTACAATTGATGAGCTAAAAAAAATTATTGTTCACAAAAAATTACTCTTTGCTACAGGAAACCAAAGTCAGCCATGCTTGGCACATCTTCTGCAATTCAAAAGTCACCCTGCCACTCGGAAGATCAGGCCCATTTCTCGTACAATTTATTTTTGTGCAACCCAAATTTCCCTTCAGAATTTCAAAAATTTGACATAGCATTAATTTCAAGGGTTGCCGACATTATTTGATATTCAATTCCTCCACTTTCATCAACAGCTGCCATTAAGGATGAGAGTATGACGGCGGCTCATTAAAATGCCGGACTTTCCTCGGAAAACCTGGAGGCAACCCTTGGAATCAATAACACGTCTATTTCAAGAATTCTGCAGGAGATCCTCACGTACATCAAAAATTCTGCGAGATTTTTTGAGTGAAAAGCAGAAAGCTGCCCGAGTGACTTTTGCGTAAATTTCCTGAAAAAAGGCGGAATTTTTTTTTCTCGGGCCAAATACGTTCTCTTTCAGAAAAATAATATGGTTTCTAATATATTTCGTTTCAATTTCCATCCCGAGAACTTTCATTAGACCAATCGTGCACACACACACACACACACACACAAAAGGCCTCAAAAAGAAAAACAACATGTTTGCACAGCAAAAAATAAAAAAGAAAAAATTTATTAACAGAAAACCAGAACCCACCTGATAAAAGAGAACATTCTGAGACCAACTCTGGAGCGTCAAGCAGGCCTCGAACCCCAACATGTTCTTCAGCGGGTGAAACATGACCAGCTGACTGGGATAGACCCTTAACACAGATTCATCCATTGAACCCACCAGGGCATCTTCTGTCACAGCAGGAACTGGTTCCTCGTTCGCCAATGTCTTCAGCACAGGATTCACATGCACCTTTTCCCCCCCGAGTATACGAGCACGAGAGTGACACAGTACATTTGTCAAAAATTCCGATCACATGACCAGGACTAAATTAATTTTTTGAAGAATCAGACAACGGTAATTTGTTTTAAAAAAAAAAAGGTCTCTCTCATGTACCTCAAACATGGCGAAAAGCCAATTCCCGAAGTTTAAAAAAGTCTACGTAATCCAACAAAACTTGAAAGGAATTATTTTCATTTCATGTCCACAATTTAATTTTTTTTCATGCTCTAAAATTTTACATGAATCCCTAAAATAAGCGTATCAATAAGAAAAAAGCGAAGATTACAATTTCTCTCCATAGAGAAGAGATATAGATTATTAATTTTTACAGAGATTTCTAAATTGTTCGAAAAAAGTATAAAAAACTTGAGATGGTCAGCAATCTCCATTGCGGCAAAGGGAGCAAAAATCCATAATTCTCACTAGGGAAAGATCAAATATTTGAGAATACGGTTCATTTAATTTAAATAATTTAATTTAATAATACTACTTAAAAAAATCAATGATTCAAGATAAGTGCAGTAGGCAGGAAATTAACAGCATGGACTGCAATCATATTCCAAGATACTCACAGTGTGACTGTCGAACAACTGCGTCTCCCACGGAAAAACCTTCCACAAGTTCATCTCCCGCATACGAAACTAAAATTTCGCTTCGAAACCCTGCATAAAAACCCAAACGCGGAAAAACCTTTGACGACTCGAATCACGTCAGTCAAGATATTTCTTTTTCTCTTCTGCTCAAAGAGTCACGGCACTTCACTCAACAACATCTTCATCATGAACACTTTTTCCACCGGATACGGGTTGTTCTTCACACTGATCCCCACTGCTGAAAGGCAATAAGTTGCGTTATAGTTCTCTAAACAACATGTGACAAGATAAGCATGGTTTGAACTATCACATTTTAATCATCGAAAAACTTCCAAATACACTTATGGACCCCTTCCAACACGCGAAAAATTCTTCATAGCGTCTATCTTTCGATTCACTCAGGTATTTGAGCACACACAAAAAAAAGAGTTCTTCAACTAGTTCTACAAATTCTGATACGAGGTTGTGCCCAGAGATTCACGACGCAAGAAAAAACGTCGTTATTAGATCTGATTGTACAACAAAACTAACGGGAATCGCGACTTCCATTATTTAAACGGAGAGTGAATGATGAAACTAACAATGTATCACAATAATAATAAAAATAAACCAAGTACAATATAATTCAGGTTTTCAAGGTAAATGACGCACAAAATATTATGTACTCGCCTTGAAGTGGAGGAGCAGGTGGAGCAGGAGGAGGAGGAGGAGGAGGAGGAGGAGGAGGTGGTGGTGGTGGCGCACCGATTCCTGGTTCATCACCACAATTCCGTTGAACTGGTTTGTTATTTTCATCGCGCACTTTCTTAGTCCCGAATAATCGCTGAAAAACAAGCTCACTCGATTGTTTCCAAGTTCTCACCTAATCTAGATTTAAATTGACTAACCGAAACAGGGCCTTGAAGGAGTTTCGCAGAACTGTACGTTGCGTTGACTGGATGGGACCTGTAGTAACCCAATTTTGCATAAAATCCCTCTCGATCCGTTGTCGACAAGGCCATTTTCGTAAAACCACACCTACGCGAAAAAGTTTCAACAGATGATTTTCAAATACGTATCACGCACAACCAAACGAGCACTTGAAGTAACGAAAAGCTAGACACACATCCAGATAAATTTCGGATACAACAGTACTCACTTCACTGCTTCGGCCTCGGCTTTTATCATCAGCAGCTTTCCAAGTCCTCGACCACGCAAACGATCGTCAATCACAACTGCGAGAAAAGTCTCCAGAAATGTTATCACACAACTGGAAAGAACAGGGAAACACTTCACCACTTTCAATCCAACACGCTTCAGGGTAGTCGAGAACACGGCAAAGTCGGCAGTGGCCTACAGCAAACGTTCGGTGGTCTTCTTTGGCGACTAAAACCAGAGACGCTGGAAACTGTCTGCTCGACGCTTGCAACGAACGCATCCTGAAAAATGATGCCTTATCGCAACCATGAACAAATTTCATGAATCCAACAACAAATCTACCTGGCTTCGCGAGACCTTGGCCATTCTTTGTTCAGGATTGCACAACACGGTTCCAAAAATTCCTTACGCGAGTGAAGCGTTTCCAATTCGAAGTCCAATTCCGAGAGTGAACCCGCGCGCAAATACACTTCGGGTAATAGCGACATCGAGTAATTCTCTTTCACATTTCCCCAGGTGGTCCACACACAACATAAATTTTAATACTGTACTGAAAAAAATTTCGTGTAAATAAGACAACTATTAGGTTCTCGGAACTGGAGCGGGGCACCGTACAAATAGCTCTGGCTTATCAGACACGGAAAATGATTTCGAATTCGGAAGTACTGCACTGGTGACTAGTCTCGGAGGGACAATTCATTCTAACAAACCAACACTTCATGCCCAAGGATCTCTTTTCGGTTCGAATTCAGGGTATCCTTGAGAAAACTAGCTTGGTGTACAGTACATGATTCTTCAGGGAAAGATTGCTGGTAAAGCAAATACGTATCCAGCCACAATACGAGCTTTGATCGAAAATCAAACACCGTATGTCGCGAGAACTAGAGTCGAAATGAACAAATAAATAGACATACGCAAACTTGACAAAATTTCAAGCACAATCCTTCATTTCTCGACCACAGCGCAACCTCATTTAATACAGTACATTGTGAACGAACGATTTGAACCACGTTGTCGTGAGGTTAGAGGAAGGGACACCAAGACCAGCGCCATGTGCAGCATCAACAACAACAACACAGATTAAGTCACAGAGTCACGGCCCCGCTGAACTGCAGAGACTGATGGTGTCCATCACCGTGGTGGACGCGGAAAAGGAGCTGGTACTGCTTGCCACTCGCGTGGTCTTCGTGGATGACCTCACTGTCACAGGTGTCACACGTGTTGTGCGAGTAGTAACATACGTCGTCGTCGTCTCAAACTGCACAGATGGGGTAACAATTAAGAAGGTTGTGAATGTCAACTCAGTGTGGGTGGATGTGGTGCTTCGGGTCTGGATGGGTGACCACCAGTGACGTGACTTTCACCGTGTGCAGACCATACAACGTCACCAACAACACCAAAGGTTTCTCCAGTTGTGAACTCAGAGACAATTCTGGTGACATAACCACACCCGCGTATCGTCGAAACGAAATCCATTCCGGGTCCTGTTTATGACATTTCACACTTGTTTACAATAATGTATAGACAGCACCATATGTTTGTTACATGACACATGAGAGCATTGACCATAGCTTACTCACCAAAAAATAATATTTTCAATTTGATAGTACAGTATTGTATTAAATACACACTACCTAAATAGCGTGAAAAGTGGTGTGAAATGACAATATTCATGGCGTCCCTGCTATATATTATTATGAAAAGCTGCTTATTATGTGTAGGACTTGCAATGAGGAAACAATTAGTGAATTATTGATTTGCTGTCAAGAGGGAGCATTTGTTTGTTTGTTAAAATTGTTCAGGGTTTGAAAAGCTAGGTCTTCATGATTCAAGATAAATCATGCAAGTGAGGGTTCAAATTGCAAGCAATAAGAGATTTGGTGAAAGCAAAGGTTTTAATTTCTGAAGGGATACATCACAAATTTCTACCTTGTGCTGCTGGTGATTGGTATGGTCAAGTTGGTGGTCACTGCACTGAAAGTGGCACACGTCTGGTATGTTGCAGTGGTTGTTGTGGTTTCCAAAGAGGTCAACACTTGAGTCTCTGTTAAGACCACTGTATTGGTGTGGGCGCATAGCAGCTTTGCGAATCCATTCCGGGTCCTGTTCATGACATTTCACACTTGTTTACAATGTATAGACAGCACCATATGTTTGTTACATGACACATGAGAGCATTGACCATGCATAACTTACTCACCAAAAAAAAATATTTTCAATTTGATAGTATTGTATTAAATACACTATACCTAAATAGCGTGAAAATTGGTGTGAAATGACAATATTCATGGCGTCCCTGCTATATATTATTATGAAAAGCTGCTTATTATGTGTATAGGACTTGCAATGAGGAAACAATTAGTGAATTATTGATTTGCTGTCAAGAGAGAGCATTTGTTTGTTCGTTAAAATTGTTCAGGGTTTGAAAAGCTAGGTCTTCATGATTCAAAATAAATCATGCAAGTGAGGGTTCAAATTGCAAGCAATAAGAGATTTTGTGAAGGCAAAGGTTTTAATTTCTGAAGGGATACATCACAAATTTTATACCTTGTGCTGCTGGTGATTGGTATGGTCAAGGTGAAACTCTTCTCATATTCTGCTGCACCTCCATCAGCAGCAAACACTGCTGCACTTGGTGAAGCCTCCAATTGAACAGGCTCAACATGTCTCCTGTTGTCAAAAATTGTAAAAAGTTTTAAAAAGTCCAGCTTTAAACTTGGAGAAAAAATTATGACACAATCAAGAAGACAAGTTCTGAATATTAATTCAAAGATCAGTTAAACCTGACTTATTATGTTACTGTATTCTTAATCCTGAAGGCTCAAAATAAATTGTTTCTTACTTTCATTATACAAAAATAAAACTATGATGAAGAGAACTGCTGATTTTTCAAATGTCCTATACTGCATGATGATGCCAGGCATTTTTGTACAGCAAAAACAAAACGGCCCTATAAAATAAATGAAAAAAAGAAAGCATCTGACTCACTTGATATCACTCAGGTTGGTAACCACTGGTGTCCTGCGACCATTTGGTCTCCAAGCACCCACACACACAAGCACCACCTTCGCGAGGAGCACCAGAGAATAACTGACCTTCGTTGCGCGCCTCCGCCCCCACATGCCTATATTATATACATTCGAGGTAAAAGAAAACAAGTACTGAACTCTACATAATTGCAGTACAGTAAACACATACTCTTGTACTGTGCATGAACATATCATCACACCCATTAATGCATCATTTTTATTTTCAGCCAGGTTTTTTTTTTTTTTTATGCCCTGCAACGTGGACGAACATGTAAATTCAAGTGGATTCAAATACTGTATATTATATAATTTGGCATATGTTTAACATATTCAGCCACTGATGACATTCTTTTAAAAATGTGGACTCAAATACTGTTGCAAAGCTGAGTATTCAAGAGACTTTTCTTGACAGAGCACAGCATGAATTTTGTCATTAATTTTTCCACTGCTGTGTGCCACAAAATTTAACTGATTCAAAATTGAAAGTAAAAAGTGTCATGCTTAGAATAAATGAGAGCACAGTACAAGTCTTCAACAGATTGCAAAGTACCAGCAGAAAAAAACTGTTGTAGAGAGCATTTTGTTGTTATAGAGAACATCTATAACATGCTAAGCAGCAGACCCTGTATATATATGAGACCCAAGAAAAATTCAATATATACTAAGAAAGTCATTGTAGGCAACATTTTTGTAGAGAGAGCCCAGAATCTGCATACAGTATATATACTGTAGTCAGTGGATCCTGTCCCAAAGTTTTCCTCATTTATATTCATATGCAGTTAAATCTTGTTACAATAATAACAAATTAAGCTGTTAATTGAGGCTGCATGAAGAAAAAGGCTTAATTATTATGTTTAAGGATAATACATTTTCCATTTTATAATATACAGTACTGTTATAACACCATTGAAATCCAGCACAGGGACATATATTGTATATACTGTATAGCCAATGATAATTCTTTATAACGAGAGATTTTATGCAGCAGCAGTAATTCCCCAATTAACACGCCAATTAATTGAATTTAAATTTAAATTTAAATGCATAATATCACTGTATTACAGTATGTTATTGTCAACCGATGGTGGAACAAACGGCAAAGGAAAGGGTGGACGTGGACGTTCTCGACAGCGTCGTCACACTGACGACTTCACTCGTGTCCGTCGTGACGACCGTCGACGGGACCCGCGTCTTTTGTCTAGGGATGACAAAAAATTGGTCCTAGGCTAAAAAAGGATGAGGAATCCAATGAAAAAATGTTCATCCACCTCCGGCAATGGCTTGTGGTTGACTCCGAGAACTTTTGTTAGAACCCTCGTATATGAGACCCAAGAAAAATTCATTATACCAAGAAAGTCATTGTAGGCAACATTTTTGTAGAGAGAGCCCAGAATCTGACTACAGTATATATACTGTAGTCAGTGGATCCTGTCCCAAAATTTCCCTCATTTCTATTCATATGCAGTAAAATCTTGTTACAATAATAACAAATTAAGCTGTTAATTGAGACTGCATGAAGAAAAAGGTTTAATTTTGATGTGTATAAGGATAATCCATTTTCCATTTTAATATACAGCACTGTTATAACAACATTCAAATCCAGCACAGGGACATATATATTGTATATATAGCCAATGATAATTCGTTATAACGAGATTTTATACAGCAGCAGTAATTCCCCAAGTAACACGCCAATTAATTGAATTTAAATTGAAATTTAAATGCATAATATCACTGTATTACAGTGTGTTATTGTCAACCGATGGTGGAACAAACGGCAAAGGAAAGGGTGGACGTGGACGTTCTCGACAGCGTCGTCACACTGACGACTTCACTCGTGTCCGTCGTGACGACCGTCGACGGGACCCGCGTCTCCGTCGTCACCGTCGACGGCGTCGTCACTCTCAGCGTGGTGATGCTCGGGATCTTGCTCGTCGTCGGCACAGCACTCGTCACCGACACCGTCGTGGATTCCCAGCGCGTCGACGTGGTCGTGGAAGTGACGGCGATCGACACGACGTTGAGGCAACGGCCCCTCGTCAGCGTCGTCGTCTCCGTCACCGAGTTGGGCTCGGTGACGGTCGACACGTCGAACACGGTCTTGCACCACCAATTTCTGCAAACACAGGACAGTAATACTACTATACGAGGGGTTTAACCAAAGTTCTCGGAATAAACAAAACAAAAAAGTTAAACGATGACACATGCACTATAAAAGCATTATTATTGAGAAGAAAAACAACTATTGCTTAACTTATGGTCTGATGAAATAGTTCTTTGGCACAAGAAAGAAGGAAAGAAAAAAAAAAGCCAAGCTCTGTTCAACAAATTCCGCAAGAAGTATGTATTAAATTTTTGTTCAATTTTTGTTTTACAAAAATTCCTTTGAAACACATTTTTACAATTCAAATTTTTTTAAGGTCTTGGACAAAAAAGTGTCAAAATCTTGAAAAATCCTCTATTTCTTTAGCTTTGATTTGAGGCAATACTTTTTTTTTACATGCGTGCTTTGGTGTTTCACAATTTGAGTGTGTGTCATATGCAA